GAGGCTTGGGGGTGGGGAAGGCACCGCTGTGTCCTGTGACTGTCCCCCGCGGCCCCCAGTCTCTGCAAGTGGGGTTTCCTGAGCGTTTGTCCTTCTGCTGTTGGCACCCACCAAGGGGCACAGAGCTACAGGCGCACCCCCCCACAGGCCTCTGTTCCTGAAGAGGTTCCAGCAGGACCCTCCGCCCTCGGGGCAGGTGGTGAAGCCGCAGGGAGCAGGAGGAAGGTCCCTTGGGCTTTCCTGGCTTTTCACTCAGAGTTGGTCTCTGCTGCGAAGGAAAGAGGAGGAGGCGCAACAGCGTGACCTCCCTGCTGCCTGCGTCCAGGCAGCTTGTCCGTAAGACGGCGCAAAGCCTGCTGGCTGGAAGCCGGACCCAGCTGCTGTCACACAAGTAGCAGTGACAGGAGGGGCCGACTCTGCCTGAACCCGGCTCCTCGAGTGTGTGTGTGTGTGTGTGTGTGTGTGTGTGCACATGCATGCATGCATGCATGCAAACGTGTTTGTTTACAAGCATGTGTGTGGCTGCACATGAGCGTGTGTCCATTCATGCCTGTAGCCTAGCGTGTGTCTGTGCACACGAGCACATGAGTGTGCAGCCATGTATGGCCGTGCATGTATGTGCTGTGTATGTGCGTGAGCATGGGTGTGTTCCTGTGAGTGTTGTGTGCACATTTGTGCGTCGTCACGCGTGTGTGTCCCGTGTGTGCGAGCACGCAGGCGTAAGCACACCGGTGCCTCCATGGAGCTGTCATCACGGCACACGCCTCTGATTTCTCACCTCGCTGGGAAGCACGCAAACCTCTGTAACCCCTCTGTGGCCCCGTGACACTGCCTGGGGACATTCCATGATTGACTGTCATCGTGTCCTGGGACAGCCGTGCGGGCAGCACCACATGGTGCCTTCAAGCCCCTGAGGCACTTGGTGGCTCCCAAGTGTCCCTTGCTGTGCTGTCCTGGGAGCTCAGTGCCCGGCTCGGGGCGAACGTTTTGAAAATGGAGCAAGAAGTTTTGAAAAGATAAACTCCCAGGGAAGAGGGTTCTTTCATAGTTGTCACGATTTTTAAGCATTTTTATCGAGGTGTAGTTGTTGCATGATAAACCGCACGTGCCAGCAGTGTGCTGAGTTGTGACTCGTGCAAACAGCTGTACGCCCACCACCGCGGCCGGGGTGGTGAGCACATCCGTCAGCCAGAAAGTGTCCCCAGACCCCTTGTCATCCCTCCACACCTCCTACCCCCAGGCAGCCACCGACCAGCTCTTTGCCTCTATAGATAAGTTTGCATTTTCTGGAATTTTGTACATATGGACTCTTACATGATGGACTCTTTTTATTGATAAAATTTTCTTGAGGGGAGGTCACAGAACATAAAATTCACCCTTTAAAGCGTACGATTAAAACGAAGCATTCAACCCAGTGGCACTTAGTGTATTCATGATGTTGTGCAACCGCCAGCTCTATCTGATCTCAGAGCATTTTCATCACCCAGAAGGAAACACGGTCCCCGCCATCAGTCATGCCCTGCCTCCCTCCCCCATCCCCGGTGACCACTGCTCTGCTTTCCGTCTCTGTGGATTGCCCGGTTCTGAACGTTTCGTGTAAATCAGATCGCGCACCGTGTGGGCTTTTGTGTCTGGCTGCTGTCACTCAGCGTAATCTTTTTGAGGTGTGTTCCCATTACAGCAGGGATCGGTGCCTCCTTCCTTTTTATTGCTGCATACTATTCCATCCTGGGCGGACCCCGTTTTGTTTATCCATCCATCTGCTGATGCACATTGGGTAGTTCCATCTTTTGGTCATTGGGAATGGTCCTGCCGTGCACATCGGTGCACAAGAATTTGAGTCCCTGTTTTCAGTTCTTTGGGGTCTGTACCTCGGAGCAGAATTGCTGGGTCTGTCCGTCTTTTTTGTCAGAGTCCTTCCACTCAGCACAGTGATTCTGAGTTTGTCACGTGTCAGAGGTCGGTTCCTTCTCACTGCTGAGTCATCGTGTTCCCTCGTATGGTCAGTTTGTTCATCTCTTCACTGCTTGACAGACGTTCCAGTTGTTTCCAGGTTGGGGCTCTTAGAAATACTCCTGCTGTGAATGTCCCAACTTGTGCACGGGCGTCCACATCATTTCTCTTGGGCGACTCGCGAGAGCAGGGCTGCCTGGCCACGGGCTAGGTGCATGGTGAACGTTTAAAGAAACCGCCACCGTGTTTTCCAAAGGGGATGAGCTGCCTCATTTCATGGAGTTTTTCTGAGGGGTGATGTGACTCTTTGAATGAAGAGACCTACCATGCATATATATATATATATATATGCATATATATATATATATATACACACACACACATACACATACTGCGGTTACTTAGTAATTTGGGGGAAAAGTAGTTGGGGGGGTTTGTTGTTGTTTGGGGGGCAGTGTCTTCATTTTCTATAGAGAAGGGGTCTCACTGTGTCACCCAGGCTGGAGTGCAGTGGCATCATCATAGCCCACTGCAGCCTCCAACCCCTGGGCTCAAGCGATCCTCCTGCCTCAGCCTCCCGAGTAGCTGGGACTACAGGTGGGCGCCACCATGCCCGGCTTAGGGAAAAGTTTCAGAGATTAAATATTTCATCTCCCCCAACCTCCTTCTCTGTTGCCTCTGTCCTCCCCGCTGTGCACTACGGCAGCGGCCTCGGCCTCGCACGGCACAGCTTCAGCGTCCCCCTGCCTCCACCTTCCCAGCACTGCTGCGGGACTCTCCTCCCAGCACCTGGGTCGTCTCCGCCTCTCGTGGCCCTGCCCCCTCGCGTTCAGGGTGCCAAGTCACGCTCCGGTTTAGGGCGCGGGTCATCAAACGTTCCCTGTGAAGGGCTGGATGGTACTTACGTTAGACTTTCCAGGGTGTCTATCACAGTCTCTAGCGTGACTTTTCCACTCCGCTGCTGTAGCAGAAGCAGCCACAGACGAGATGTGAATGCGTGAGGGAGGCTGCCTTCCGACAGAACTGTATTTATAAAGACAGGCCATGGGCCTGTCACACCCTCCCCCGTCCTTTTGTGAGCCTGTTGAACGAACTCCTCTTCATCCCTCAGAACCCCTCTTTGATGTTGCTGCCAGCGTCCCGGCCCTCAAAGGTAACGGCTCCTGGTGTGTGCCATTTAACTGTCACACTTGACAGCTCTGGGGTTTGTTCGCACACCAGCCTCTCCCGCTGGGCTTTGAGCCAGGGTCTCGCTCACCTCCATACCCTCCACCACCCCTGGTTGTCCCCCGCGCTGCCTTTATGCCTCTTGCTCCAAGGCCCCAGACGGGCTGTCACCAGCTTCAGGTGCATTTTCTTTTTCCTGCGACCTTCAGAACCAAATGCATTTTAAGAAAAATAAACCTCTTCTGTTGGAATAACTTGAGATTTACAGAAGAGTTACAACGATACTGCAGAGGCCCCACCCCCGTACCCCACGCGCAGCTCCGGGAACGTGCACAGCTGACACCAGGGCACGTTAGGCACAATGAATAAGTTGACATCAGCTCCAGCCAGGCGCGGTGGCTCACGCCTGTAATGCCAGCCCTTTGGGAGGCCAAGGCAGGAGGATCGCTTGAGGCCAGGAGTTAGAGACCAGCCTGGGCAACATAGCGAGACATCATCTCTACAAAAAATAAAAGATGATTGGTGTCCTCTAGACCCAGCCTACTCGGGAGGCTGAGATGGGAGGATCACGTGAGCCCAGGAGTTCACCAGCCTGGACAACAGAGCAAGACCCTGTCTCTGAAAAAAATAAGTAAAAAATAATTTAAAATTTTTTTAAAAAACAAATCCACATAGGTGCATTGCTATTAACCGATCTTATTATTGATATTACTATTTCATACTAACTGGTATAAATTATTCAGCATCAATTATGGCTACTGTGCGTTGTTCGGGTGTCATGAGTTCTTCCACTCATGTCCCCTCTCGAGTCGAGGATCCTTTCCAGGGCTCCCCACTGCATTGAGGGTCTCCTCCAGCCTGGGGCGGCTTGCTGATCTTTCCTGGCTGCCCATGACCTTGGCAGTCTTGGAAGCACTGGCTGGCTGCCCTGTAGGATGCCCCACTCGGGGCCTGTCTGATGTTGTCCCCAGCAGACTGGAGTTGTGGCTTCTAGAAGAAGATGTGCTCTGAGCTGTTCTCTCCAGCGCCTTCCGGGTGGCCTCTCTGACTTCATCCTCCTCGGTTAGGTTTCGGGGACCCTGGAGTTTCAGGGATCCGGGGTTTCGGGGCAGGTTCAGTCTCGTCCATCCTCATACGCCTCTCGCTGCCCCCGGTGTGTTGCCGAGGGCTGCGGGGCTGAGCCTTCGTCGGCTTGGGGAGCTGCCAGGGGACGTTTTGTCAGAGGTGAGAGGCCAGGGAGGACGTGGCCTGGGAAAGGCTCAGCAGAGAGAGGTGGCCGTGGCTATTGGACGTCAGGCTTGAGAGGCTGCCTCTGGGCAGGGCTGGGAGGGAGCAAACTCAGGGGCAGGGCTGGTCTCGGAGGGGTGTCTGGAGATGTCACCCAGGAGAGCCCCAGTCTTTGGGTCGGAGGTCACACTTAAGGACAGACAGAAGGGCTGGGCATAGTGGCTCACTCCTACAATCTCAGCACTTTGGGAGGCTAAGGTGGGAGGATCACTTGAGGCCAGGAGTTTCAGACCAGCCTGGGCAACTTAGCAAGACCCTGTCTCTACAAAAAGTTTAAAAAAAAAAAGAAATTGCCAGGGGTGGTGGCATGCACCCGTAGTCCCAGCTACTCAGGAGGCTGAGGCGGGAGGATCGCTTGAGCCCAGGAGTTCGAGGCTGCAGTGAGCTATGGCCGTGCCACTGCGCTGTAGCCTGAGTGACAGAAGTAAGACCCTGTCTCTCAAAAAACGTGTAAAAACCCAAACGACAGAGGCACCTTGGCCGGTCGCCTCTGGCTTTGTGGGAGAGCCCGGTCAGGGCCGGGGGACGCCGGCCTCACCCAACACCCTTCCTCCCGTCCCCCCGACCTTGCCTGACTGTGCCCTCCCTTCCAGCTCCGGAGGCGCGCGCCCCAAGCCCGGGAGGCATGCTGAAGCCAGGCAGCCGGCAGCATGAGTGTGAAAGAGGCGGGCAGCTGCGGCCGCCGGGAGCAGGCGGCCTACCACCTGCGCATCTACCCCCAGCTGTCCACCGAGAGCCAGGCCTCATGCCGCGTGACCGCCACCAAGGACAGCACCACGTCCGACGTCATCAGGGACGCCGTCGCCATGCTGCGCCTGGACGGCACCAAGCGCTACGTGCTGGCGGAGGTCAAGGAGCCGGGCGGCGAGGAGTGGGTGCTGGACGCCAGCGACTCGCCGGTGCACCGCGTGCTGCTGTGGCCCCGGCGGGCGCAGGACGAGCACCCGCAGGAGGACGGCTACTACTTCCTGCTGCAGGAGCGCAACGCGGACGGCACCATCAAGTACGTGCACATGCAGCTGGTGGCCCAGGCCACGGCCACCCGGCGCCTGGTGGAGCGCGGCCTCCTGCCGCGGCAGCAGGCGGACTTTGACGACCTGTGCAACCTCCCCAAGCTGACCGAGGACAACCTCCTGAAGAACCTGAAGCACCGCTTCCTGCAGCAGAAGATCTACACGTACGCGGGCAGCATCCTGGTGGCCGTCAACCCCTTCAAGTTCCTCCCCATCTACAACCCCAAGTACGTGAAGATGTACGAGAACCAGCAGCTGGGCAAGCTGGAGCCGCACGTGTTCGCGCTGGCCGACGTGGCCTACTACGCCATGCTGCGCAAGCGCGTGAACCAGTGCATCGTGATCTCGGGCGAGAGCGGCTCGGGCAAGACCCAGAGCACCAACTTCCTCATCCACTGCCTCACGGCGCTCAGCCAGAAGGGCTACGCCAGCGGCGTCGAGAGGACCATCCTGGGCGCCGGGCCCGTGCTGGAGGTGAGTGGGGACGGGAGGGGGCCTTTGTTTTTGAAACATAGGCCTCTGACTGTTGTCGTGTTGTTCCTTCGGGTGGGGCCGGGGGGGGGGAGCAGGTCGGGAGAGGACAGCCCTTGGGAAGAGAGTTTGTCACCCACAGTTCCGCCGAGGGTGGGGCGTGATACCACACGTGGCCACGGGGGTACGTGGCACTGGGGGTCGTGGGCAGGACACTGTTGTGGTCTCCGTGGGGCAGGGTAGGCAGGCTTGGCTGAAACATTTCAGTGGCCTCTGGTGACAACCCCTACCTAGGGGTCAGGTGTCGGGGCCTGCAGTGACGAGGGCAGAGGGATGGTGGCCTGCAGCGCGAGAGCCCAGTCGAGGAGGTGGCCGGGCTGCGGGCTCCGGGTCAGTCGGTTTGCCTGTGGAAGGCGAGTCCTGGACTGTCTCTAGGAATCGGCTGACATCTGGAGGGGTCCCCAGCCAGGCCGCAGACGTCAGAGTAGCACGAATTGCAGAAAATAAAAAACGTGTGATTGGCCGGGCGCGGTGGCTCACGCCTGTCGTCCTAGCTCTCTGGGAGGCCGAGGCGGGAGGATCGCTCAACGTCAGGAGTTAGAAGCCATCCTGAGCAAGAGCGAGACCCCGTCTGTACTGTAAATAGAAAGAAATTAATTGGCCAACTAACATATATAGAAAAAATTAGCCGGGCATGGTGGTGCACACCTGTAGTCCCAGCTACTCTGGAGGCTGAGGCAGGAGGATTGCATGAGCCGAGGAGTGTGAGGTTGCTGTGAGCGAGGCTGACGCCACGGCACTCACTCTAGCCCGGGCAACAGAGTGAGACTGTCTGGGGAAAAAAAAAAAGTGTGATTAATACACCTTCAATGACTGAAGGGTCCTGGAAAGAAAGCGCTGGTGTCCTCAAACCGAGGTCCAAGGCATGCTTCGTAGCAAGGCATTTCCAGGGGGCCAGCAGGCCGGAAGGAAGCGCGCAAGGCATGCAGGCCGGGGGCTGGGAGAGCGGCGAGGCGTGGCCACGGAGCTGGGGTGCTGCCTGCTAGCACCGTAGAGGCAGCGCAGGAGGGACCACCCAGCCTCCCACACCCTCTGCCCAGTCTCCAGCGCCCCTGTGGGTGAGCATTTGGGTGCAGGGTGGCGGACATGACCGCATAGCACCCCCTTCACGCCGGGGGTTTGGGGGCAAGATGCCTCCCTGTGTCTCAGAACACAGCACAGCCATCGTCACGTGCTCAGGACCAGGCACCCTGTGGTCTCAGAGGTCTGCGTCTCCGGGTTCGGGGTCCCATCCATGGGCTTTTAAAGTCCCGAGTTTACATTAGGTTTTGTTCTTGCTGTTGCACATTTTGCGGGTTTGGACAGACGTAGAATGACTAGTCCCCCCCCACTGTAGCATCACACGGGGTAGTGTCACTGCCCCGACAGTCCCTGCGTCCCACCCGCTCATCTCCCTCCTGCGAGCCTTTGGCAGTCACTGAGCTTTTCACTGTCTCCATAGTTTTGCCTTTTTCAGAATGTCCTTTAATTGGAATCAGACAGTATGTAGCCCTTCTTCTCTCTCTCTGTTTTTGTTTTTGTTTTTGTTTTTGTTTTTGTTTTTAAGAGATAGAGTCTTGTTCTGTCACCCAGGCTGGAGTGCGGTGGTTTGGTCGTAGCTCACTGCAGCCTCAAACTCCTGGGCTCAAGCGATCCTCCTGCCTCAGCCTCCTTAGTCGCTGGGAATACAGGCATGCGCCGCCATGCCTGGCTAATTTTTTCATCTTTTGTAGACACCAGGTCTCGCTGTTTTGCCCAGGCTGATCTTGAACTCCTGGATTGCCTCAAGCAATCCTCCCACTTTGGCCTCCCAAAGCGCTGGGATTACAGGCATGAGCCACCGCACCCAGCCAGCATGGGGGCTTTTCAGATTGGCTTCTTTCGCGTAGCAGCGTGCATATGAGTTTCTCTTGTGTCTGTTCGTGACTCGAGAGCTCATTTCTTATTGCTGAATAATAGCCCATCATATGGATGAGTCCCAGTTTCCCCATCCGTACATCCTGAGGGGAGAGGTGGGGTATGCGGAGACCCCACCTTCCCGGAAGTGTTGGCCTCTGGCCCATGCCCCCAAGCGGAGGGCTGCCCTGCAGCTTGTCTCAAATCATTTCTAGGCAGGCCTGGGGACCACATCTCGGTTCCTCTTCTTCTTCGAGACCATCAGCGGGACGATGGTCATAAGACCTAGCCTCGGGCCAACATGTCGCCTGTCATCATTTTCTCCCATATAAGTAATGTAAAGATTCCTTGTTGTTTTTTTGAATGGAGCTTTTAGAAACTACTGAGCAATTTGGCCACAGAATATATGTTTTCCATTTTTACATGGTTCGCCCCTGTGTGTGCTTGCCTGACCTAGTCAGGTGATCCGTTCAGCCCGCGAACACCGTGCGCACTGTTGCCGCGCGCGGGTGCTGGCGCAGCCACCGGGCTCTGCGGTGGCCACATGGGGCCCTTCCCAGGAGGAGCTCGGGGAGGACTCCAGGCGACGTAGGAGCTATGGAGGTTCTGAGGAGAGGTGGGACACGACCCAGCTCACGGGGTCACGTGGCCACTCCAGCTTCGTCCCAGCTCCGGGACCCAGCCCCAATGACGCCACCAATGACACCATTGTCTTCCCAACAGATGGATGGGGGGTCTCGACAGAGCTGTAGGCCGGAGCGTCCGCGTCCTAGCCTGGCACCCCCATCCAGGGTAAAGCAGTGACATCAGAGATTCAGTATAGAAGCGAGAGGATGGACCCCACATTTACCAAGTTGAGCGTTTGGCCAGATGGGTCCTTGTGGCAGCCCACAGGTGCGGGGTGAGCACCTCGATCCCCAAAGAGGTGACACATGAGCCACGTTCCATCCTGAGGCTCCAGGAGAGGATCCTTTGTGACCTTCTCCGGCTTCTCTGGTGGCTCCAGGCATTCCTTGGCTCGTGAGCGCATCACTCCAGTCTCTGCTGGCCGGTCGTTTTCCCGTGCGTTCGTGTCTTCACCTGGCTTCCTTGTAACGCGGGAACCGCTCGTTGGGTGTGGGGCCCATGCTACTATAGCCTGAGCTGATCCTGACTACACCCGCAATGACCCTGTTTACAAACAAGGTCCCGTTGGCAGGTTCCGGGACTGAGCATGTGGACTTAGCTTTGTGCAGGGGGGACATGAGCCAGCCCACAGCAGCCCCCATGGGGTGCCAGTCGGTGGCATTTGGTGCTGGGGCCGAGGAGGGCCGCCCCAGCTCAGCAGATACTCCTGGGGGCCTGCCACTTCCCCCCGGGTGGCCAGCGAAGCTGGCTCCAGCCTCCAAGTCCACTGGCTCTCCCGGATGTCGTGGATGGCGGTTAGTCACCCTCTGTGAGTCAGACGCCTGATCTCACCAGGCTGCCTCCTCCTCGGGGCCTCGGTAGCGGGAGGCAGCGAGGCCGGTTTTCTCTGGCACTTCCACGCCGCACGCTCGAGGGAGGGTGGTGCCCAGACGGGGCTCGAGCCAAACCCACGTCATGGCAGTAAACGTGCTTCCGGGGGCGACTGCTTGCAAAAGGATGAGGTTGTCATCGCTGAGAGCTGGGCGTCTCAGCCTTGGCACTGCCGACCTCTCCGGCCAGACCTCGCTCTGGGGCTGGGGGGGGGCCTGTGCATCGCAGGGTGCTGAGCAGCGTCCCTGGCCTCCACCCGCCAGATGCCAGCGGTACCCCATGCACACACAGGTGCGATGGCCAGAAATGTCCCCAGGCATTGCCAGTGTCCCCTGGGGACGGAGTCTCCAGCGGGTGGGAACCGCTGCCCATGAGCCCTCCCACAGGACGCAGCCACTGCCCGCTTCAGGCGCTGAGCATTCAGAGGTCGTCACGTCCCGGCCATTCTGCGCTCAGCCAAGGTCATTTTCTAAGAGCAACAATGACCTGTTGTCTTCCCTTCAGCCCCACTGGGTGATGGGCTCTGAGCTTCACGGTTTCCATCCGTCCTTTCTCTGAGTCCTTGCAGCAGATCTGCCCCCACTTTAAAGATGAGAAAACTGAGCCCCAGAGAGACTCACGGAGGTGCGAGTCTCCTAAGGGGGCTGTAGCAAAGTGCCATGAACCTGGTGGCTTAAAACAAACGGGAATTTATTCCCTCCCGGCTCTGGGAGCGGAAGCCTGAACTCCAGGTGTTGTCTGGTTCTCTCTGGAGCCTCTAGGGGAGAATCCGTCCCAGGCCTCTTGTGGCTTCTGGTGGCTTCAGTGGTCCTTGGCGTTCCTTGGCTTGTGGCCACATCAGTCCGGTCCTCACCTCCATCTTCGTCTGCGCTCCCCTCCTGTGTGTGTCTCTGGTCCCTCTCGCCTTCTCTCGTGAGGACGCTTGTCATCGGACTTGGAGTTTACCTTACATCCAGGGTGACTCATCTTGAGATTCTCACCTGAATTACATCTGCAAAGGTCACGTTCACAGCTTCCAGGGGTTGGGACTTTGGTGTATCTCTCGGGGGCTCAGCAGGCGAACCCGCTACAAGTGGGTCCCCCAGGCCACACCGCAGGTAGCCATGGCCAGACTGGGCTTGGAGTGTGGCCTGAGCCCGGCCTCCCTGCGTTTTTGGTGAAAGGTCTCCTCTCCCCTCCCTCCCCCGTCCCGGGCCTGGCCGAGTAAGACCCAAATCGGCTCAGCTCGCCATGTCGGTCGGGACTTTTCTCAGCTCCCCGAAAGGAGAAGTTGAGTCGCTCTGAGGTTTGGGTGTTGCCGGGCACCCCCACCCGAGGCGCGGGCTGCAGCCTCGCTGTGCAATACCGACCAGAAAACAGGAAGGGAGCTTCGGAACTCGGGCTCCCAGCAGCTGCTCTGCCCACCCGCTGCAGTCAGCTGCCGCCCTCCCCGGCCCGGAGGCCCCACCTCCAGGAACACCGCACTTGTGCAGGGGTGTTTGGCGTCACAGATCAGAACCACCAAGGGACAGCAAGCAGGCTCCCCAGGGTAGGGGGTGGCCTGGAGTCCCCTACCCATCACAGGCACCCCC